GCGGCGGGGGGCAGGGGTAGAGGCACGGGGGGACGGAGGGTGGGCTTTTGCCCTGGGAAGGAAGACACCGCGGAAGAAGATGGTTGCGCGGGGTGCGGGGCTGTCACCGGCCTGAGGAATGAGAGCCTCGGGCTGTCACTCCACGGGGAGGGGGGTGCTTGTCACAGTCCCAGGAGGCGGCCGGGGGGTGTCACTGTCCAGGGAGGTGGGGAGGCAATCCTGGCGCCGAGGGGCAGCGTCGAGGGGCAGGGGCGCTGTCGCCGCCCCAGGGAGGGGGCGCCGCGCGGGGTCCCTGCCCTGGGAGGGTTCTAGTGACTCTCCCTCCCCAGGAAGGCGCCGGGCGGGTCAGGCGGAGGGCGCGCTCCCCGCCCGTCCTGCGACCGCGCCCCGGGCGTCTCCGCCCGCCGTCAGCTTCTCCGGGATCCAAGAGGCTGAGGCCGCTCCCGGGTGTGGGCAGGTTTCCGCCGACGCTGTGCAGGGAAGGGAAGGGCAAAGCTGCCGTTGGGCAGGCGTCCTCCCTCATCCCGTGAGGCCAGGCCCCGAGCTCACCTGGTGTCCGCGGCCCCTGCTCCGCCCGCCCGGCCGCTCTCCGGATCCCAAGATGTCCGCCCGCCCCCTGCTCGCCTGCCCGCCGCCTCGGCTTTCACTGCAGTGCCGCGGCCCCGCCCCGGCCTCGGCTGCGCCTGCGCGCCGGGCTCCCGCACGGACTACAAATCCCGTCAGGTCCTCGGGTTTTCTCGCTTACAATTTTAAGCTCTCAAAATTTAGCAAAACTACAACTACCGACTGCCTTCGAGAACCTTCGAAAGGGAGAGTAGGAGTTCCTTTGGAGGGCTAGGAGTGGCCTAATCCAGCCTTAGCCGAAAGGCACTTCCCAGCCTATCCGATTCCGCTCGCTTCCTTTCCCCCACTGAGCATTATGGGAATTGTAGTCTCGGAGTTCCCTCCCGTTCCTGTGTCAGTATTTCGGTGAGCCTTAGAGGATTACTACCATTAGAAGTCCATCTGTTAAGACTTGGATCGTTGTAGGCCTTTAATGTCTCCAAAGTCCGAGGACTGGCTGTCCTCACTTTCCATACAGCACACGACTTGGCAGTAGAAGTGTTTGTGCTGAATTTACTGCTTTCTAACACCACCTCTGACTCTCCAAAATTTTAATTTTTCATCGTATATATTTGCCAGACGTGAGCCTTTCTCCAGGGATCAAGACCCAAGGAAGGGAACAGGGAGTGAAGAGGCAAATACTCGGAAGAAACTAGATAAATCTTTTCAAGACTATGTCCGTGTTCTACTTCATCTATACCTATGTTGCTGTCAGTTCCTCAATGCCAGAACCTGTGTGCCTTCTAGTGAGAGGCAGATATGTTGTTTAGAAAACCATTGGTGAATTTAATTTAATTGGACATGGGATCTGAAATGCCCTCTCTGAACAGAGTTAATCTTCACATCCAAACCAAGAAGACAGAACCAACCCTCAAACATGAAAGGCATGCCTGGCTCTTGCAGGACCTGAAGAAAATATGTTAGCTCTTCTCTTTCTATACAGAGAGATACCCTGATGCCTTCGCTAGTCAGGGCTGAGCCCGTCATGGGTGGAAGGAAGGATAAGAAAGGGCGAACCTGGTTGCAAGCCTTACTGTCCCTAGCATCCTCTTTCAGAAGCCAAGATGTGGCAGGATGAAGATTTGGCCTCCTTCATTAAAACCGTGGTCATAACCTGAAGCCATCAAGTGACCAAATACAGGCATTTCTGATCCTTGAATCAGCACACAAGGCTTCACTCCTAACCTTTCCCAAAGATTTATCTTCAATTAATACCCTAAATCCTTACCAATTTAGAGCAAATAATAATAATAATAATAATAATAATAATAATAATAGCTACCATTTATTGAGCACCTATTCTACTGTGTGCCAGGCACTGTGCTAGGCACTTTTCGTACAATATCTAATTTAAATCCTCACAACAACCCTGTGAGGTAGGTATTATTATCATCATTTTACATATGAGGAAACTGAGGCTCAGAGAGATTAAATAACTCTCCTATCACACAACCAAAAAGTAGTAGAGCTAGGATTCAAACCCAGAACAACTTGACTCCAAATCCCATGCTCCTGTGAACTAGAGCAGAGGCAGAGGGGAGAAGGGCTGAATTCAAGAAAGATTGTTGGAGTAGAATGAATCTGATCTGCTGAATAGTAAGATTTGGGAAGGGATTTAAGTCCATAGATGTTTCTAGCTGATGAGCCTATGTAGATTGTGAAAGTAACTAGGATTGGAATTCATGAAGTGGGAGAAATGCATTGAGTCCATATAGACATGTCCATGGAGATGTCCGGTGAATAATAAAAACACAAATCTAAAGATTGGAGGGAAATTGGGGATGGAGAGATAGATTTGAGAATCCCCAGCATATCAAAGGCAGGTAAGGACCTTCTGATGGATGATACCATTTGGGGAGTAAATAGGAAAGAGAAGTGGATTGAAGACAGAACACAGGGAGCACCAACACTGAAGGCATGAGCAATAGTGGAAGAATTCTCAAGAAAGGTGGACATGGCAGAGTCAGAAAAAAAAGAAGTATAGGAGGCAGCCCTCCACCCAGTGGCTAGAGGAAGCCACAGTCTGGGTTGGAAGCAAACTAGAGCTGCTAGAAGGCAGGCAAGACTGAGTCAAATTCCCAATGTAGCCTTCACTCACAAAAAAACCCAGGAAGTATTTAAATGAATGCCAAATGCCCCTTCCTTGGTTTGCCCCAAAGCCTGGAATTTAGTACTTCATCTCTTGACACCCCAGCTCTGAAAATATGGGAGCCTAAGTGAGCTAAAAGAATTTATAGAAGAGGCTTAAAGTCATAATTTGTTTAGAGTAGAAAACAGGTTAAAAACAAAAACCTGGCACTTGCAGAATTCCCCCTGCCCAATCATGCTTTGGGGCAGTGGTTCTCAACCTTCCTAATGCCACGACCCTTTAATACAGTTCCTCATGTTGTGGTGACCCCCAACCATAAAATTATTTTCGTTGCTACTTCATAACTGTAATTTTGCTACTGTTATGAATCGTCATGCAAGTATCTGATATGCAGGATGTATTTTCATTGTTTGTGACCCACAGGTTGAGAACTGCTGCTCTGGGGTACCATGGTGATGTGAAAACAGGAAAAAGTGTGCAATGCAGGGGGCAAGGTGAGAACAGCCTGCTAGTTGTCTGGGGAGCCCTCTGATGAGCCCCACGTATGGGCTTCATCCAGGTAGGATGATGATAGGGACATGTGGGGGAGGCTTAAGGGCTATGAGGAAGGGGAGGAAGGATAGAGGTAAGTCAGGGGACCAGCCCCACCACCTGGGAGAAAATTGGGAGAGAGAGGCCAGCCCTCTGGGCAGGGACCAGCCCTGAGGCTTAAGTGGACTTGCATAGGCACCTGTGGGTGTGCACGTGTGTGAAAGAGAAAGAGAGAGCACGCACGCTCTCTGGAAAGGCGAACAGTCCCTCATATATGGGCAAAGGGCTGGAGCCCTCCCCTGAAGCCTAGTGACTCAACATGCTGAAGTGTGGGTGTGGGGGCTGCACATCCTTGGGAAGCCCTGAGGGGCTGTTGAAGCAGGGTTCCTGGTTTCCTCGGAGGCTGGGCCTCCCCTCGCTGGGGGCTCACAGAAAGTCAAACAGCCCGAAATTCTTGGCTGCTCCACGCCCAGGAAAAATTGGGGGAGGAAAAAAGAAAGAAAAGAAATGTTTCAGGCCCGGAGGTGAGATGAGCCTGTTGGTTAGTAGGGTTAGGGGTCTGAAGGAACCAGCACACAATTGCAGGCAAGGGGTGGGGTAGGGCAGAGATCAGGCAACGAAGGCCCCCACTGGGCTCCTGGTAAGGGCCCAGTGCAGGAAGGGATAGCATGGATACGTACTAAAGGTGACCCACAACTCTAGGGTGCAAGCAGCAGGCAAGAGACGGTCAGGCAGCAGGCAAGGAACAATGAGGAGGGGCGGATGAAGCAAGTATTTTTTTGGTGTCAGTATTGCGTGTGTGGGGCAGTTCAGAGATGGGACACATGCTTGTGGCGATGAGGTTAATAGGGAGATGGTGTAGCTGAATGAATGGTGAAAGGGACCTGAGGTGGGGAAATGGTGGGGATAAGGGGCTGGGCAGGCCCTCAAGGGCACAGTTGAATTCCTGAAGTGTATGCACAGGTGAAGGGAGTCAGGAGCAGCACCAGCAAGTCGGGTCTCAGGGACATGAAGGATCCTGAGAAGTCCTGTGCAGCAGTTAGTGGGCAGAGGGACAAGCTGGGGCTGCTGGCAGGTTAGGGGCTGCAATAGCAATGTGGGCCACCCCACCCTCGCTGAGCTCAGCGAGCAGTTAGCGCGCCTGGATTTAGTTCCGTTTATTTCCCTTTCAGGTACCAAAGTAAAAAAGACTGGACAGATGGAGAGAGGGACGCAGCCAGCCAGGTTAGAGGTGGGATGGAAGTGGGGAGGGGCCCTGTTCACATCACATCCACAAAGAACTCACTGGGGTTTCCCATGGCCATGCGGAAGGACTGTCTGCTGGCAGTCAGTTCGGGGGGCACTGAGGCCAGGTCACGGCCTGGGGGCGCTCCTGGGGGTCCCATGGCCGCGGGCGGTGGGGGCATCATCAGCATGGGGGGGCCATGGAGAGGGGGGACGCCAGGGGGGCCGTAGCTCGGGTGCGTGTGATGGC